CCAATATTGATCAAGCAGTTGTTGGTTAATATATTGTTTGTCAATAAATTACATCAATAAATTACGTCGAGGCTAGAGATAGTGCAGAAACTAATGAGTATATTACATATACACGCGTATACGCGTGCACATGCGTGTATTTGTAGAAGTGGGGAAGAACCTTCCTTGCTCGTTTTAACAATAGCGTAATGAGCAATAGATGAGCAAGTACTCGAAACATTAAAGTACTTTCGTTCTATCTTAACATATATGTTCCTTCTCTTCCCCTTTGAAAGCGCACATGCAATTGAAATTTATTGCTGTCAGAGAATCACGATTTTAATAAAGAAATATTATAATGCACGTAATATCACATGGATATTGAGATTAATTTCGTTAATTTTGCGTCCCGCAAAAGCCTCTTGTGTCTGTAGTGCCAAACATAAGCGTTGATCGGTCAGTTTGAGATACACAGAAGAGCCTTCCAGACAGCATGGCGTCCGAGGGACACCACTACATTATGCACCACTTAAGATAGATGTTGCGCCATAATTGCGCCCTCCTCTGGAGGAAATACGGCGCGTTATTCGGCGGTATTATGAACACAAATCTGCGTCGACCCTGCGGAATGTTAAACGAAAGTCGCATCTCAACTCGAGGGATCCTCGTTTTCGAGAACGATTTGCCCCGCGGTTCCTCCGAATGGGGACGCTCCCCGACAGGTAGCTTTTAAGGAATTTATCCAGCCGCACATTAAACGGCGCGGATCTTGATAAATCCAAATGGATTTCCCGTGTTACGATTCACTTGGCGTGTGACTTTCGGCGCGATTTAGCAATGTTGCCCGGTGCCAAAAACCGATTTATTTCACGCTAATCATCGGTCTGCGGACGTTTACGTTTTGTGGCATATTTCCACATCAGAATTTAGTGCAAGCAAGGGGTACGAAGAGAGGGACATAGTCGCGAGGCGTCACTTGCTCCGTGTGCATCGATAATTCATCGTAAAGTTGAATTGGTCTAAGAATCGATATCGACCTAATTTTTCTCAATGATAATTAAATATATATTATATTTCTCTTTTTTTGTTATACCTATTAAAATACCTTTCCTTCGTCACACGATTAGTTTGAAAATGAGCTTTTGATTAAATTGTCAAGTGTTAAGTATCTCTACAGCTAATCTTTAATATTACAAGTCTACAAAGTCTGTTCGAAATTTAACGAAGTACTATCTTAATAATTGTTTATTCTTTAAAACTTAATTTCCGTAACATTTAGGATTTTCTTTGTTATAAAAATTGCTAATACTAAATTACATTGCTAATACTAAATTACACCACGAATTCGTCATTTTATTATTATCGATATTATTACTGATAATATTTCTTTCTTTCCAGAGATATACTCAGATAAATAAATAATACTTGGAAACATTTTAATTAAAATTTCCCATTATATGTACTTAAGTATCTATTTTTTTAAAGCGTACCAATAAGAGTCCTCTGAAAAAGATACTGTTCTCTTTCATTCCGCGAATCAATGAACGAAATACGTACAAAAGCTAGAGAGATATAAAATGTAATATTATTTTATCGAAGTCACTTTCCATTATTATAAACACGCCATAAATAAAGCCCAATATTTATTTACGGCGATGGAAAAATGGCGATTGATGTAAAATTCTTTCGCAAACTCACAGCATCGGAAATCGAACTCGCCGAAATTATGCGGGCTTCAATCCTTGGAGTAAAAGCTCCCTCTCTCTCCCTCTCTCTCTCTCCCTCTCTCTCCCTCTCTCTCTCTCTCTCTCTCTCTCTCTCTCTCTCTCTCTCTCTCTCTCTCTCT